CTTGAAAGTCGGTTTTGGAGCTTGGATTGCCATCCTTAAGGCTCAAAAACATCTTCCTAGCAATAAAGTTACAATCTTTGTGGCTTATATGGAACCGTGCATGAGATCTAGTTAGCTCTGTGGAAGTAGAATGTTATTTATGGAAGTTTGAGCCTTTATGAGACTTGTAAGCCATCAAGTAAGCAACTTTATGGCTTAAGACGTGGAACACGCTTAGGATCTGGATTTGTAGCTTCTGGATCAGATTTTTAAGCATTTAATAAGATTTTGGCTTAACAGGGTTGTATGCTGGGCGTACAAGCCAGCAGCCAGTACGCTCAGTGTACCTTGGTGTACGCACCGTGTACGCTGCCAGTTTGGGCTTCGAGTGTTTTGGGCCTCAGTATGGGATGAGTTTTAGACTTAGGGTCTTTGGGCCTTAGTGGCCATCAAAATTCAGTTGCTTTGGGACCAAGGACTAGTATTGGGCTTGAGTAAGGCCCAATAAAAGGTTTTGGGCCCAATATAGAAAATAGGGCCATTTGTGGGCCTATAGTGGGGCCATTGATGGACTTAGAAGGAATTGAGGGTTTGGGCCATATTGTGACCCATACCATAGTAGGGGTAAAAGGGTCATTTTACCCATAGGAGAATCCCTATTCTGATTTAGTGTTTTATTTCCCATGATAGCCGGGAAGTAGCCGGAGCAAAAGTCAAGGATTTCTCATTCAGCAATTCAGCAGTCAGCATCACGAGGTGAGTTTCCTTCCAGTAGGAACGGGTCTACGGCCACAATGACGGCCCGTTTAGTTAGCAGTAGTTCCGGAATTCGGTCTAATGTAGTAGTTCATGATGCTTGGTGTCTTTGTGATTCAAGCATGTCTATGTGTTATGTGTTTCGGGCTTCGGTCCGATGCAGTATGCAGTATATGTGTTTATGTTAGTTGATATGTATGCTATGCTATGTTCAGCCAGTTCCGAACTTCGGTTCGATGCAGTTAGTTCCGGACTCTGGTCCGATGCAGTTAGTTCCGAACTTAGGTCCGATACAATCAGTTTCGGCTTCGGTCCGATGCAGTTTCCGGACTTTGGTCCGATGCAGAGGGCAAGGCCCTGGTTAGTTCCGGACTTCGGTCCAATGCCGTTTCCGGACTTCGGTCTGATGCAGTGGGCAAGGCCCAGGATGTGTTTATATGTTATTGTATGGTATGTGATAGTTTGGGGGAGCTCACTAAGCTTCGTGCTTACAGTTTTCAGTTTTGGTTTCAGGTACTTCCGCAAGTAAAGGGAAGAGCTCGGGATGATGGCATTGCACACACCACAACTTCAGTTTTATTCCTGGGAGTTTTTCTTAGTTATGATGTGATACAGTTCTGATACAGTTTGTGATACGACATTTTATTATGGTTTGAAATATTTAACGTATGGGTTTTATATTATGACATTCAGTATATGATTTTAGTATTATTAAACAAAAATTTTTGGGACGTATTTTTGGGACGTTACAAGTTGGTATCAGAGCCTTGGTTTGAGGGATTCGGATACACTTTCGGGTGTGTCTTGATGGGTTTTGGCCATATAAACATTCCTATGTGCACATGCAAACCCTAATGCTTGGATCTAGGTTTCTCTAATTAAACATGCTTTCTATCCAAGACTTCTGGTGGTTGTCGAGGCCAACACAAATAATAACCCTAAATGTTACACACTAAAATAGTGTGTAGTGGTAAAGGGATCGAATCCACAGAGATTGGTTCAATTTCTAACTCTATGAAAAATCTCTTTGTAAAAATACTTGTAAAATAACAATAAAAATAAAATGGGGGGTTTTGGTGTTTTGAAATACTTGATGCTAACTAGAATTAACTATGATTTAAATAGACAATTGCAACAAAAATAAGAATTTGATGTAAAATCAATAAGGGAAAGATGGTTGACTTAAAGTTTTCTCACTTTGACTTTTGATGAACATATCATTAGAATTCAATGGTGCAATACTTGTTTTAAATCCTCAATTTGGCTATAGTAATCCAAGGAGCTTGAGATTACCTAGACTTTTCTTAATTGTTGAAATGGCTAGAGAAGCTCATAACAATTTCCTTAGTCAAAGTCACTAATTCCAAATAGCATGTAATTAGTGAAAGTTAACTAGCATTAAGAACCAAAAAGTCACCAAATCCAAGAGGGGTCAAATGCTTTCACCACCATGTTGGAGGAAATGTTTTTATGATTGTGTGAAGTAAAAACAACACAAAAATCATTTGTTGCTTGCTAATTTGAGGATCCTTTACTTAATCAAGAAATTAGCCAACTAATCACCACAAACACATTTAAACTCATGAACTAAAACATACAAGTAATGATAAGATGTTAAAACACAAAACATTTCCATAAAGATTCAAGAACATGTTCATGGATTCTTCAACATTCAACAAAAGTTTAAAGGATTAAACAAAAGTCAACCAAGATTAGTTTAGCCAAGCATGGCTAAACACAAAGAAACAAAGTTAGAGAAATTTGTACCAAACATTAAGCAAGAATCAAGAGGTAAAAATATGATGTTCTTCAAGGGTTCTTGGCCTTCAAAAGTCTCCAAAACTCCAGAGAGAATCTTCAAAAATCGGGGGTTCAAGAGTGTGCAAAAGATGGGCACCAACCTTCCTCAAATAGCTCAAAAGAAGGAATTCCGAAATTGCCCCTGCAGGGCCTTGCGCGACCCGCGTGCTGCTGCGCGGGTGGGTTGCGCGGGTGGTACCTGACATGGGCTCCTTTGAGATTTTGGGCCTCTAAAGCATATCCCACTAGCCCAGATCGAATCCAATCACCTCCTAGCCCATTTTCTTCAAGTTTTTCTTCATTTAAAGCCCAATTTGACCTCTCTAAATCCTCCAAAGCTCGTGAACTCGCCCGATTAATAATTTTCATACGCTTGAATGTTCCCCCGCATCTTTCAAATTTAAAGCTCAATTCTTCCAAGCATTCAAGAAATTGACAAGTCCACCCCATGAATCACCTTCATAGCCATCAAGCATGAAATCTCCAATCCCCTTCAAGCCCAATCGCCTCGCAAGAGTGCCGCCCCGCTAGTTTCCAAGAAAATCTGCAATAATGCTCAAGAAACTAGAAAGTACCCCGAAATGGTCATAAAAATAACAAAAGGGAAAATATGCATGAAAGTTAACTAAAATGCAAATGAAATGTACTAAAATAAACTATAAAAATAAGTAAATAAAATGAAGCTATCAAATCACCCCAAGCTTAAACCTTACTTGTCCTCAAGTAAGACAAGACTAAATGAACTTGGGATGAACTACCCTAGAAATAAAAAGAATGGATAGAACCATGGAACCTGTTCGATGTTAGTCAACATGGTCAGAACTGATTTCGCTGCTATCTCACAACTTTTTCATCCGATGACAATGGAACCATAAACCACAGCCAGGATAACTCCTTTAGGTGAGTAAGGAGGGATGAGCAGTCGCAGCCTCAATGGAACATGTATACAATGAAGAACATCTGTAGTAGGGAGAAAGCAACTGGATGGGCTCGGGTGGAGCTCTTCTTTAAGTGTACACTCTGATCTCACATTTGCCGGTTTCTCTCATGTGTAACTAGGTTTAATCGCTCGGGCACCGTTGTAGGAATCAGTTCACTTAGTGTTGGCCCAAACCTCCCGTAGTATCCGACTCGACAGTCTCTCCAACATCACCAATTTGTGAGAAAGAAAAAAAAATAACAACTCGATCTATATACAATAAAACAGATCTATACAAATGAATATCAAATGTCGGGTGACCAAGATGTTGGGAAATTTGTTCAATAATTGAACCGGCCACCTATCTAAGATAGTTGCAACTGAAAATTTGCATGCTTCATTTTGTTTTTGTTTTTTTTGTTTTTTTTTGTTTTTTTTGTTTTTTTTTTTTTCAATGAGAAAACCCTTTGACTCAAAATTTGGTTCCCAAAGGTGTGTAGGTGGAACCGAAAGGGTAATGATATAATCCGAATGGCCTAAGTGTGAAAATGACCATGTGTGGAGCATAAAGATGTAATGTAAGCTCCTTTTCAAACTTGTGGTTTTTCAAAGATAATGAAAATGTCCAAATATGGACTAAAAGACTCTCTAAATTCTAAGAAAATCGCAAAAAGATATGGTGATGCAAAGAGACCGGATATGGATTCTACTCGGGGACAAGCACCAATGCTTCATCCTAACAGTTCAAACATGATCAAGTGTGATCCTCTCCGCGGTAGTGACCGCAAGGCTAAGAACACCCATTGCTATAGTATATCCTACAGTTGTTAGTATTGTATGCATAATTCTTCATGAAAACTACCTGTCCATGATCACTTACCCCTTTAAGCTACCAGCATCTGATCCCAAGTATGAAATCCCAAACTGCAGCTAGTGGTCCCGGTTCGATGGGTGAGATAGCAACAAGATCCTGGACCAATAATGATACAATAACTATGAACCTGTTCCATGGCATCCAAGAGAGGTGAGAATAAACAGACAACAAAAATGCATGAATGCTAATGTCTTAAGCTAAATGTTATGCAAAAATAAAAAGTAGAAAAGAAGAAAATAAAATCTTTTTTAAAATTTAATAAAATAAAAAAAAATGAATGCAAATTAACTTAAACTAATATGTTATGCAACCTAACTAAAAATGCATGAAAAAGAGTAAGAAAAAAAGGGAAATGCCCCACCCCAAGCTTAAGAACAAGCATTGTCCTCAATGCTTAAGGAAAGGGCAGAAAGGACCTAGATCGGGGGGTCGGGCGGCGGGAAATGCCCGTGGCGATAGTGGTAGTCCCACATATCCTGGAGCTGGCGGGAAGTGTGAGAGGAGGACTGCTCCAATCGATCAACACGGCTTGCCACATCTAGGATGGATCTCGAATTCTCTTGCGTTTGGGCGTCGATACGCTGCACCGTGGAGAACATTGTGGCAAATTGGTCAAAGAACGTAGGGGGGAAATATGGTGGGACTTCGTGTCCCTCCTGCTGATGCGGCTGGTCAAAATGATGTGGAGGGGCCTGGAACTGATCGTGCTGAAAACATCGGCTGTTGCATCGAGGGTTGGTCAAAATGGTCTTCAGCTTCGGGCATCTCGTCGTCCTCTTCGTCATCTTCTTCCTCTTGTTCCTCTGCGTCGTCACCCTCATCATCACCGAATTCTGGGAAATAACCTGCTTGGGTCAATTGATCTGGAGGAAGCCAAGTGTCGGGGTCGCCTGCATCGAATGAGAACCGATCCAACTTGGCAGGATGTAAACCGGGGCTTTGTCAGCGTCTAACCAACTGTACGTGCGGGTTCCCCGATCGAGCAACATCTCCATCCGGATGAGAGTGTCACAATCTAGCAGGAAGTTCGGTGGGGTGTCGACAGGTATGTACTCGGGATCCGGAAAGTCTAGGCCGACGGCTCGACCTATGATCGTGATAAGTCCCCCGATGAAAATTTCCCCTGAGGAACGTTGGCGTATGGAGTCACATTTGTCCTAAAAAGAAGCCTGAAAAACTGAGGGAGAGTGCATGCCTCATGCTTCGGAGGAAAAATAGCTCACATCTGTTGATTTGACCGGGCTCGAGACGCCCAAGATACTCGTCGTAAGGACTCGGTGAGCAATTCGCCAACATGGGTGAACGATGTGCTTGGCTCGCTGTCGGCTTGGGTTGAAGGTTGGGAGACCGGAAATTTGCATCCAGAAGTTTGCATCAGGCAACGCAGAAAATCTTGGTACTCTTGACTTTGGGGGCTGATGCGGAACGGATCGTCTATACCCATGATAGAATCAAGCTTGCGTATGTGAGTCTATGATGCTCCCCTTTCAACTGGAATGTGAGGACTTCGTGTCATCATCTCGTGCATATGTTGCTAAGAAATTCCATTGTGGTTCCTCGTAAGTTCTGTCACAAAGTCGAAGAAAACCACGCCAACCGAGTTTTAT